CCCCAAAACCCCAAAACCCCAAAACCCCAAAACCCCGGAGGAAGTTATAGACATTGGAATAGCATTTAAATAGAATGAAGAAAGGTGTAAAGGATCCAATGTTATGTAGTTACCTTCAATGCAAAAATCCAAGAAGGTACTTCTGCACTGAATATAAAAAGCAGGTCTGTGAAGAATGATACAATATTCTGTACTTTGATAATGACAAGCAGATTATCCAAACCTCCAAAGAACTTGAACTTGCTGTTGATCAGATCTTTAACTTTGTCACTGATCTCAAAATCAGAGCTGAAGCGTCTAGGCTTACACAGAAGATCGATGGACTTGAACTAGCATTTAAAGTCATTTTTGAAGAAGTTGAGGCTTATGGAATGAAGGTTAGAAATGCTATCAGAAGAGACCACTTCACTGAGTATGAGGATCTAATACAAGAAGCTTCGGATATAAAGACCAAAATACTTTCTGGAGCATTTGGATGTGGATCAGATGGATCCAATCCAATATTCAGACTCTTTTTCGATTTGCAAGTGCTTTCGTTTTCAAGCAGATCTGGAGAATGCAAAGATCCAGTGTGGATAAACAGAATTAAAAGGATAACAAAGAAGTCATTGCATTCCAAAGCAAGCCCTGCAGCTAATAATGCAAGTATTCAGAATGAAAATAGAGAAGAATCCAAGCAGGACGAAGAAGATATCCAGAACCTGCCAAGAGAAGCTAACCAATCTGCTGAAAATGATACAAGAGCTCAGGATCTTATATCAGCGTTTGAGGAGAAACTAAGACAGAAGGAGCAAGAGCTTCAAGCTGAGAAAGATAAGTCTGAAGGATATGAGCAAGATATGAATGTTCTTAAAACAGAAAATGATAAACTGAACAAAGACAATAATGATTTAGTAGAAGAAGTAAAGCAATTGACAGAGGAACTTAATCAGAAATCTGAAAGTAACGAATCAGTAAACAAGAAAGAGTATGAAGCTTTATATGAGAAACATATGGGAGAGAAGAAGATTTTCGATGAAAATTGCCAACTTAGACTCAGAATGACAGATACAAAAGCTCAAAACTTTATCAAAGAACTTGGTGACAATAAAATAATCCTTCCTAATATCGATGAAAGTCATACAGGAAGAATAGATGACAGCAGCATTGAGATTATTAATAGATACCTTCTCAATTGCATTCCAAAATCTTTCTCAAAGATCTACTTGAATTGGGAATGGAATGAGTATCCAATTCAGTTCTCTTCGATGATTGAGGGGTTAAGTGTTGCTCTTCCTAAAATAACAAAGGAAGTCCTATTTAACACTTTTGTGATTCAGTCTTCTGATTTGGAACTCATCATGCAGAAATGTTATCAGACTGAAAAGATCATTTTTGCCTACTCCAAGCTAATATCTTCTGAAAGGATGAACTTTGATACAGGCAAAGGCTCAAAGTTGAAGTGTCTATCTATTTGTTCCTCAGATTTTAATAAGCAAGGATTATCATCTGATTTCCAAAACCACCCTGAAAGATTAGAATGGATCATCGAAGCTCTAAGCAAATCTGCACATAAAACATCCCTCGAGTATATTAATATCCAAGACTGCCCAATCGAGGTTAAGACAGTTGAAGATATGTTGAAAAAGTACGGGATGGATACAGTTGTTGTTAATGTAAGTGATGAAAATATGCCTCCATATCTTTTATAAGAAGATATCATTCAATACAATTAGATTCAACTAGTATTACGAAGTAAGGGGTTTTGGGGTTTTGGGGTTTTGGGG